CATGTGTACACACACAACTAATAATAATAATAAATAATAATCACTTAAAAGTCAATATTAAGAATCTGCAAGGGTGACGAGAGGAAACAGAAAAGGTTTCAGTTCTACAAAATCCATTGTTGAATATGGGAGGATAAGAAGATTAAACCTGTGAATGATTCAAACCAATCATTCATTGATTCATAGAATATATGTGGATCGTGTATGCCATATCATAAAGATGCCTTATGGAGTTCATTCTATCACACACTGAAGACTTATAAGCAAAAGTCCTTTCAAATACAGAGTGATTACCAATCATTAAAGTAAGGCCAGTGGAAAACCTGGCAGTATCTTTGTCACACCCTTCACTATTTCCTTCCTATGGAACACTTCTATAACAGTATTCAAATTGAAAACATCCCTTATTTTCAGTCAACAAGTTTCTGGGGACAGTATATTAAGGGGCAAATGGAAGAATAATTTATTCTACTCTCAGGTAAATTTTCTTAGTCACACAGTCTAAGAAAAATAACATGAAACAATGTTGAATGTACAACAACAAAAGTGGATCATTGTTCTCCTAGAGAGCTTTTATGTGCAAAGCACATTTGATAATAATGTGAATTCTTTTAGGTATTATATTCTGTGACTGTGTGGGGAAATAGTTTGGGCATAAATACAGAAGAAAGGATATTAAAAGGAAAAACAGAAGACATAGTTGATTCTTTTTGACAGTCTTTTGTAGTATGAAACCCGGGGTCCATATCATGGTGATAATGCTGAAAAAAATTTCTAATGACTTTATCATTATTCCCAGCAGTGTCCTGGAGTTCCAATTTTAAGGGCAGGGCTTTCTGTAGGCATCTAATGTGAAGATATAACTCAGAGAATTTTGTGAGAAATTGTTTCTTCACATGAAGTATACTTGATAATAACATTTTAATGTAATATTGACATTTCTGGTTTTTAACTCTGTTGGGCAGAATGTTGAAGAAAAGAAAATCACTTGTGGAGACTTCAGCAGGAGTGTCTAGAATCATGACAATTTAACCCAGTCTTATCCTATATCAGACACATTCGATTAGCAAGGAACTAAAGTTTCCTTCCTGGTTTACAGAAGCAGATCAGTCTTCAAGAGAGATGACACTGAAACTATTGAAATTATTATTAAAATGAATATTGTGGGCAGTATTGGAAGTTTATTTTGTGGGATTTAAATAAAGGAAATATTCTATAATTTTCTTCACCCCAGTCTCTCTCTCTCTCTGTCCCTCTCTCTTTCTCTCTCCCAGATACACAGATATATGCACATATTTTGATCTATGTGTTGATTTAAACACTTGGGTTGATTTGTTTTCACTTAATCTAACCAGTGTGAAACTGAGGCAAGTCTTCACATTTGATGATCCACATGCCATTTGAGCTGAACAGACAATCACCTGCATGTTTACTCCTGCATATTTAATCACAGACCAATCACATCCAAATCACCCTGTGTTTAACTGAAACCTTAGGGTCTCAGACTATAGACCCAGAGCTAGCAAGCCACTGTCTGCATTTAACAACATATCATAGTTAAAGCCGTAAGTATACAAGGTGAGCCTGGCTCAGGGTGTATATTTTAATTACTTAGGGTGTTTATTATACTGTTATCATTCCCACACCTGATAAGAAGACCAGTTAAGTCAAACTGAAGATGGAAATTTGGCATCAGCATTTTAAAATGCTCATAAAGTGGTTCTAATACACTCACAGGTTTCAGAACTATTGATTACACAGTGTCAAAACAAAGTGGAAGGGGTGAAAGAAAGGGAAGTCAAGCCAATTAGTTAGTATTTTGTAACATTCTATAAATGATTGCTTTTTTAATAAGATTTTGGCAAGTGTAAACACAGACTGTTATGCCTCAACCTGTCCAGGTGTGCAGTAAACCAAGATGGCAGATACTTTAACGTCCAAATTAATAAAAGGAAGTTTTGTGTTTGTTTTTCAATTTTATTTCATTTTATCAACCAGTTTCTGGCATGAAAAGATCTAAATGTGTGTATCCCAACTGCTGCACCATTGAATTGGTCCCATCTGCAGGCAGTCCTCACCCCAACCCACCTCACTGTTCATTTATACATTAAGTCAAAGAGATTTCCCCCTCTGAATTCCCATGTTTCTCACTCCTGTTGTACATTCATACTTCCTGACCTCATGTTGTCAGTTCTGCTAGTTAGTGGAATAAAATGACCTGTTGTTTAATTTCTGTATACAGTGTCAAGAGTTAGCAATATATGCCACAATGCCATGCATAAACAAATAAATAAGTAAATAAATCATAGCTCAGTGCACATGACCTTCCTTATCACCCTATTTTGTTATGAAGAAACTGTCTCAGAGAAGCAGACATGACTCACTAATAAGTTTCAGCAGCAAGCTATTTTTCCCAAGAGAATCTGACTTAAAGTACAGAGTGTGTTTGATAGATTGATTGTGGGTTAGGTGTATGAATCTAATACAGTAATAAGTGTAGAGTACACTAAAAACATAAACACATTAAAACTTACTAAAAGAAAGTTCACTGGCAAAACTTTGACCCTTATGTCTTGGGAACAGATTCAGTGACATTTCTTATGTTCATTCTGTGACTTTAAAAGATTTTCTAAATTATGTGTATATGTGGACGTGTATGGGAGGGTGTGTTATGTGAGTGCAGGTGCACATGTCAGTCTTGGGAACAGATTCAGTGACATTTCTTATGTTCATTCTGTGACTTTAAAGATTTTCTAAATTATGTGTATATGTGGACGTGTATGGGAGGGTGTGTGTATGTGAGTGCAGGTGCACAACATGTCGAATTCCCTGGTTCAGGAGTTACAGGTGTTTGTGAGCTGCCCAACTGAAATAGTCCCCTGAAAGAGCAGTAAGCCCTCTTTAACGACTGAGCCATTTCTCCAGGGCTTAGATCTGTGTCCTTAATGAAAACATGTTAAGACTTTGTGCACAGTCATGGGGAGAAGGTCAGAATATAACTTATTTTTAAATTTTATTTTTTATTGTACAGGGAAATTTTTCCCTTATGACAAACTAGAGTATCAGAGATATGGTTAAAATTTTTTGTCGAGCATAACAACCCACATAACAGAATATTCATCCACCATAGAAAACATCATTCATCCTTCTCAGAAGTAGCAATCTAGCTATGTGCACATATTTTAAGATACTCTTCAATGTATATAAGCTCATTAAATGCTGCATTATAATTTATAATATTTGCAAGGTCATTTATCACAGAAAATAAAATATTCCTGGGAATTAAGAGTTTTATTTATGTCTGTAAAGTAAAAGACTTGAGAAGGGTATCTAAGCTAGAGGTTGACAAAGTTGAGATTCAGAATTACCTCTCAGCTCTGTAAAATAATATCCTGAAGACAGAAAAATAACAATCTAACCTGCATATATATTAAATCCCTGAAGAGAAGACAGGCAACGAATGGAGGGCTCTCGTTTAACATTAGTTTATATGAAAAAGACCTAGAGGATTAGGTTAACATATACTCAAAATGTAATAAAAAGTCTCACACTTTGACACATCAGTAATTCTTATCTCTGAAATGAAATTCATTTTAAAAAACACCACAATTACTCCAGAATATCTTATTTTTGAAGTAAAATATAGGATTCTACAAAATGAACTGTCAGGTTTTTTGAGAAAAGGAAACAAAAGGGAATTTTTTCTGCTTGCTTTGATTATATCCCAAAGTCTTCATTTCAGTACAAAATATTCCTTATGGTAAGACCATGATATTTGGACAAGGACAGGCGCTATGACTCCTGTGTTCACAGTCTGCCTTCTCCCTGATGAATTAATGTTACTTTTATAAAGGTAACTCCCCAGTAGGCATTCCATATTTTAGCAAAGATTGTTCATATCAAATATCTTTTCTAGAAGGACTAGGGTCAAGGGCCATAAAAATCAGACCATTCCCTGCATTAAGTCCATGCTTCCTTTGCAAATCTCTCTCCCCCTTTTCCGCACTCTCTTCTGCTTCCTCCCTCTCTTTGCCCCTTCTTCTCCTACTCTGTCTTCTATCCATTTACCCCTGCTGTGTACCATAAGATGACCTGGAATTTAGAATTTTTCTGCTTCAACATCCAGAGTCCTAGAATTATAGGCGTCTTCCATGATGCACAGCCCTGATTTCCACTTGTACAAAACCTCCAAAGAAGAAAAAAAATAGATTATTTTTCACCAGCAGACTGTCCAAAAACTCTCCTTAAGTTTGTGAATACTTGCATTTTTGTGACTTTGAATGTATAAGTACTGATCGTATGTGGCACAATAGGTTCAGTTTCTGGGAGATGAAATTATTTTTTTCTGAAGAGAAATAAATAATGTATCCATAATGTATTCATTATGACTAATGAAAATTAGGTAATTGTGAAGCTCTCTGACTACTTTCCATTTTATTCTAAAATTTAAATAACTAACCTATTATACAAACATGTATTTCAGAAAATGGTAACTTGCTGGAGAAGCTAAATTAGAGAAGCAAACATATTAATGTGTTGTAATTGAATTCACCTGTCTTTCCTATGATGTCTCTTACAGCACATGAGAAGGAGATGCAATGTCTTAACTCCATTACTGGCTTTAATCGGCACAATAAGACCAATAATAGTTGTTTATCTTCTGGAGTGACTCGGTGAAGTTCTCCCCTCCAGTTTCCTTTCCCAAGGAATAGCCGTATCTCAGATCTGGTTAATTAGCCAGTAAGTGAAGAATAGAAATTTGTGATACAATCCCTACATTCGTGGTTGTTGCTCCCTAAAATAGTCAATAAACTTTCTATCTACATTTTCTTGTCAACAAGGTAGAGCCAAATGGATTAAAGAAGCATAGATTTTTGGTAACAGAGATGGTGCCTTTGTACAGTAGAACACATACTGTATATCAAAGAATATTGTGCAACTTCTCCTAGGCTGACATTGGAATCACATTGTAACCCTGGCCATCTGTCTTCCACATCTAGATGTCGATGAATGTGCAGTGTTGAACGGAGGCTGCCAGCAGCGCTGTATTAACACTCTGGGCACCTTCCACTGTGACTGTGATACAGGATACAGACGCCACGTGGATGAACGAACCTGCATAAGTGAGTAAATAGTAGAGCCAGCTTGATACCATTTTCAATGAAAATTGACCTGCCCCTGCAAGGAGCAGCAACGAGAATTTGTTCCATTGTAAATATATCTACAGAAGCTGAGAGTATTCGGGCTCAGTTCCACCTTCTAAAACACATAAGGTATGTTGCTATTAGAAAATGGAGAGACCAAAAATGGGAAAGGAAATACAGGGATCAATACTCACAATACTCATAGCTAAATCTTCAAGTATGTGATTATTTTGATAGCGTGGAATTGTGGGCATATTCTGTGAAATTTAATTTTGTTATTATGCAAGTATCACCCCAAACGGAAATGATGAGGGGACATAGGCAATGATAATAACTGATGATAACTAGCTACAGTGATCTCATTTCAAGGCAAATGCAGAACTAGATTCAGAAATAAATAAAAGATTAAAATTGAGTCATAGACAAAACTCTAAAAGAAAACATTGCAAAGAAATTAAAATTACTCAGACATAGTTACAAGTACACGTAATAAATATAGGTTACAGCATATTCACTCTACATTGAAATGTTCTTAAATATGTCAGAAATAGAATTATTGTCTCCTTCATTATGATTCTGAATTATAAATTTCTTGAAATAAGTATATGCCACTTTTGTAAACAGAAAAACAGAATAAAGTTTTAAATATACTCTCGCCTGTGTGGTTATAAATGTTCTTTGTTGTCTTCACTTAAATAATTTAAGTAAAAGTGTTTTCTTTCCAGTGAGTCAAGATCCTTACCTGTCATATCACATTCCAGTTTTAGCTCATGTTCTTGTTTACAGCAATTATCGTATTAAACACATAGCACCCAGTGCAGGAAAATTTAATTGCTCAGTTTATTTTTATAGGTTTTGTTAACTATTTCATCCTCACAAAATTGTTATTAGTATGTTATAAAATGCTTGATAATAGGGGCTGTAAAGATGGCTCAGCAGTTAAGAGCACTGACTGCTCTTGCAGAGGACCCAGGTTTGATTCCTGGCACCCACATGGCGGCTAAGAACTGTCCTTGACTCCAGTTCCAGGGGAATTTGAAGCCCTCTTCTGACCTCCACGGCATTGCACAACACAGGTGCATTCACATACATGCAGGAAAGACACATAAAATATACACAAAATAAAAACAATAAATAAAATACTTTAAAAAGTTTGATAATAATAATGAAAGTTGGACTATAGACAGCTGTTTTAAATTAGTTTCATACTATATATTGCTTGTAGTTATTTTTGCTTCCCTAGCATGCCTGAGAGAAGACCCAGACAAACAGGCAAAGATGCCATAGTCATTAGTCTGAATTTGATATGAGAAAACATGTTATGAAGGTATGAGAGTTTAAAAGTTGGGAGGGGAATAAAGATACGGTTAAGAGTACTGGCTACTGGCTGCTCTTGTAGAGGACCCAGGTTTGATTCCCAGCACTCACATGATGTTAACAACTATCCATAACTCCAGTTCTAGGGTATCTGATGACCTCTTCTTACCTCTGTGCTCATTGCATGACACAGGTACACTTACATACATGTGGTAATACTCTCATGCCCATAAAATAAAAAATAATAAATAAAATATTTTAAAAGCAGGAAGTGGGCAGAGAAGAATATTTCCAGGAACTCAGTATCAAGACGACGATATCTACAGTCCTCACACGTTGTGGAGCAACAGCTCACTCATATTTGTTTAATTGAAATATCCTCTCCTTTGTGTAGGATTAACGGTAACAGCTAGAGGACCCTCTTTTCCCTCCCTAATACCAGCCTTATAAGATCATCTGTTGGTAGTAACCTTAAACTGTTGCCATAGGTTCTCTGAGTCACAACAGTGTGTGGAGCTTCAGGACTGTTGATATATGCAAATGAGATATTTATCAGAAAGGGCAACCTTAGCTGGTGAATTTTTATATCTAATGTAAAATCATTTTTTGAAGTTGTGGTTTAGATGAATCTATACTATCTTTGTGGTAGGACAAAATAAACACTCAAATCACCAACTGAATTTTGTTTTGGGCTACATGACATTGACTAAACTCTGGCAGTCATCAGCAGAGCCAACAGTAAGCTCTTCCCTTATTCTTTACCATCATTGCTATTGGGTTAATGACATTTAATCACAAGAGGAGTTGGGCAAGGGCTATTGGTCATTGCCTCTAATTTTTTTCTTCAGTGCCAAATCTTGCTATATACATCACTCTGATAGTAGCTTACCTTCAACTCCATATGCTGATTTTTCTCTTCAGAATATCACCATAGTGTACAAATGAAGATTATTTGTATATAAATCGCAGGGGAATTAAGTACATGAGAAATGTATACTGCATGACTGCATCATCCAGACCTTCAGCCTCTTGGAGCTTCTATAGAAGCTCTGAGCCCACACTCAACCATTACAGAGTATTTTCATTGCAAAAATACTTCTAAGAATCGCTTTGATAGTGAGATTGCAAGAACCTTGACAAAAGAGTTCAAGAAGGCTTGTTTTCAGCACTTTGTAAGTGCTTTGTATTTAAAGGTTGAGAATGTGACCTGAGAGACAGCAGCTTCTGTATTTGTTCAGGAAGCCTCCTATAGACAATTGTGTTTGGGGTAGGTTGTACAAAGGGACATTTTAAAATTAAACATGAGGATATTGAATTGGCTCATTTCCATGTTTTAAACAAGGTCTTATCATACAGCCCAAACTGACCTTGAACTCAAAACTCCCTGCCTCAGGCTCTAGAGGGCTGGGAGTACAGAGGGGGCCCCTCCACTCCCATCTCCTTTGGGGACTTTTATCTGAGAGAAGACAAAATGTTTAAGACTGTATTAGGTATTCATCACAAAGCACGGATAGTCAAAGAAAAAGAAGACAGTTCCAGAATGTTGGGCTTTCAGTACTTTGGAGTACTTGACATTATTCTCTCTCTCGTTCTTTAACTTTGTGTTGTACTCTCTGTCCATCTACCACAGATCTCGGGTGAGGTGACTTTTTGAGTTAGAGCTTTGGGTATTTCTTCAAGGCTACAGTAACTACTACACTACACCCACACACAATTTTAGATGACTCCACATTAAAGAAGACTTTTTCTGTAAGAGTTTGCTTTGTTATGATTATGTGTGTCTGCTACTGGTCAGCTTCTGTCAAGAACGACAAGGTCACAGAAATATAAAAGGATTCTGGGACAGCTATCAAAGGCGACAGAAATGGCATGGATGAGCTATGTGGTTTCTGTTTAAGACTTGATTGAATTATGATGAGAAAAGATCCCAGCAAACTGGCATCTTAGCCTCAGTGAGCAGTTTGAGCCCAAGCGAGCCTAAGAATTTGTCTATTTAGTTTTGGAAAGCATGTTCTCTTTCTAAGGTAAGGCCCTGTGTCCTACAATTTCCTTCAAATTCTTACGTGTATTTTTTATACTCCCCAATATTCCATATATACTTTCATGCTTAAAAGCACACCTTAGAAGTGTATATGAAGGAGAATCTCATGACATTGTTGTATCATGGTACCGCCATATGTTTGAGGCAAAGTTGGTCAGTGAGTAGTCCTCAGTAAATCCCCTATGTAATAAGATGTGGTTTCTTCGTAAGCACAAGGATACGAATTCAGTCCCAGCATCCACATAAAAATGCGCAGCATGGTGGTACCTACTTGTAATCCCCACCCTGGAACAGCAGAAACAGAACAGTCTTAGGGCCTCACTGGCCAATCCGGTCTAGATTAATTGCTTAGCTCCAGACCAGTGAGAGACCCTGTCTCAAAATAGGTGGACGGAGTTTCTGAGAATGACATCTAAGGTTGTCCTCTGACTTCCACTGTGCATGCACACATATGAACACATGCCCCTTGCACATATATAAGTGTGCATTACATACACACATGTAAAATACACACACACATACACACACAAACATAAACACACGCATTAAAAAAATAAAAATAAAAGATTCCAAGCTAGGAATCTTGGTCTATGTCCTTTAGCAACACCAGATACATGTCACTTTTCTGAAGGCAGCATCAGGAAAACCAGTCTGAGAAGTCCCCTGTGTGAGGGATGTCACAGCAAGTAAAGGCAACTACACTTGGTTAGCAGCAGAACAGAGCACAGTATGGGGAAGTTGCCATGAGCAGGGTGCTGAGCAGGTTTTCAAAATGCTGTTTTCCATTGCCACAGCTCCCAAGATGGGAGAGGACTTGCCAAAACAGAAGCCATGTTTTAGTAAGCTTCACAAACCCAGAGACAGTCACACTCCCATTAGTTTATCAGATCTCATCCATGTGGACTACAGACTGAGGCACAGTAGCACACAAGTTGAAGTGCAGCATGCCGTAAGTCACCGGGTCTCCTACACCCTGGTTCGCTGTTCGAAAATATGTCAGAAATGGTCATAGTGGTCTTAAAATATTCCTGACATGTTACAATTTTACAAAATTTGTAAAATTATTGAATCGTTGTAAACCACCTTCTAACTAAAACTCTATTACGTTATGCACATTATCTTTTGTGATTCTAATTTTATTTATAAAAATGGTTAAAGAACTTAGATTCAGAGTATGAGAACTTATTGATTTAGTTTAATAAAAATCAATGAGTCACTGAAGTGTTTTTTATTGAAAAATATATAATCCTTGGTACTTTTAAAAAAGAAAAACAAGTTTTCTACATCATCGAAAAATACATACCTAACTAGAAACAACTTGAGCAGTAATCTTGTCCAACTTCAAATCTTTGAGGTTAAAAGTCTCAGAGCCAACGAGATCAAGGAACTTTACCAAGAAAGGAAAACATAGTTTTCAGGAAAGCCTGCCTTAATTCACTTTTGATTAATTTATTTAGCAGTTTGAGAAATGCAAACAAGAAAAAAGCTCAGACGGCACTGCTGACAAAATTCATATAGTTCATTTTAGTGAATAGAACTAAGAGTTAAAAAGACCCATTTTCACAAAAGCTATTGATAACAGAATCTAGCATTATGTTATCAACACATAGAGAACTGCCTC